TGGATCCCCCAGGAGAGTCGGCAGCCTGAAAATTGTGTAATAAATGTGGCTTACCTCCAGAGTCTAAGTGCTGTATGAGAGCATCTGGCTGGGGTGGGGGGGGGGGGGGGGGGGCTGAATATGTACAATCCTTTCCATGATCAGCTTGGCCCACCAACTGCCTGCACTGTCATGGTTCTACGAAAACCAGAAGATGTCAGGAAAATGGACACGGGACGGGAAGTTTAGCTGGACTGTGAGGTGTGAGGGTGCTGGTGAAAGCTGCCGTGGGAATGTCTATAAGCCGAATGTCCATATGGGAACGAGGGTGTCATTTGGTTGTTTTATTCCCCTCACTCAGGATGACGGGCCGGGAGTTTTTCACACGCTTCCCAGCTCTGTACCCCTTCCTCCTGGGCCAGCTGGAGGAGGCTGCCATGTCTGTGGAAAGGTAGAGATGGAGTCTGTATGTATGTTTGGGGTGGGGGGGGGGGTTTAAGCATGTTTTACCCCTGGAGTGTGAGACGCACTTCAGACCTCCCGGCTCAGTCGGGCTTTCCTGTTTTCCTCCTCCTCAGCTTCTCTCAGGTCCTTAATTAAACTCATTAAACTGGCCTCATTAAACTCATTAAACCAGCTCTGATGGACCAATTCTGTTTCCTCAGGAAGATTGTGCAGATAAGGTGAGTAACATTGCTCCCCTTCCCTCCAAGCAAAAGAGTGGAGTGGTACCGGGAGTCCGTGTTGTCCTCGCGTTGACTTGTGTACTCTGCGGCCGGCCCGGCGAGCCCCGACGGATTGTCCTTCTCTGCTTCCCAACCTGTGGGTGAAGGCTAGGAATTCCATTTTTCAATATTTTCCTAATGTGTATTGAATTATCTTAATGTATTTTCAACCTGCCCCCGTCCCTCCCCTGCCCACGTGCCCTGCTGAGTCGGCCGTTTTTCGTCCTCAGTGTCGGCTATGGATTGAGTTGTCGTAGCGATGGTGGAATCACACAGGATTTCACCAGTTCCCCAGATGCGCTTCACTGTTCTGGACATAGTTTTTCCCCTTAAAACTTCCCAGTCCGTCCCAGGGCAGGCGCTCCCGGAGTGCCATGGGAATCGCATGGGAATCGCGTGTCAGCTGGAAGGGGAACAAGCGGCCTGAGGAGTGGACTGGGTCATGGAGCTGCACTCTGCCCTGGGGGTGGAAATGGAAGTCAAACCTCGGTCCTTGGGAGTCTTGAAATTGAGGGAGCAAGTGGAGTGTTATTTCCCCCCCCCCCACCCCTTCCAGACACCCTGGGTGTTTGGTGTGACCTGGAACATTGCGATCTTTCCGGACAAACAGAAGCTGTAAAAAGACTAAAGTGAGGAGAGAGATTGTGACAGTTTTGCATAGGTGTGGGATGGGGGTGACCCACTGCTGGGCAAAGACGTGTCAGAGCGGCGTGGATAGCAGTGCGATTGTGGCGTCCTTCCTGCTTTGAACACTGTAACCTTTACAGATTCTGCAATTTATCATGGCACAAGTGCAGATTCCCATGCTGAGCTGAGGTTGTGGGGGTTTGGGAACTCACCGATCCCCTGTCCTTGTGTTTGAGCGACGAGTACAGATACGGGTTCGGTTCTGGTTCTGCCTCTGTTGGGCCTTGAGAGTCAGGGAGCCCGTCTCCGTGCCCTCGATCGATCTCCACTATAAACTCTCCCTCGGCTCTCCTCTCTTGGCGCCACCCTCAGCACCGACCGGAGCCCGTCAGAGCCCGTCAGAGCCCGTCAGAGCCCATCATGTGTTCCCAATTCCTCTCGCTCTCTCCCCGCGGCTTTCATGTCACCCGCATCCCCGGCTGGCGCAGTGAAAGCTGATGCTAAGCACGTTACATGGCCCCAAATTTACCACCCCTCACATTTCCTATTTGCACGATCGCTTGCCTGTCCCTGGGCATTTGTCATGACTGGAGGTCGGGGCTCTTTAATTGAGGTTTGTAATTAGAAGCAGAGTTGGGCCTCTGTGTGCTGGGCCGGACCTGATGTTATGAAAAGGAGCAGCTTTTGGTCGCCTTTCTGTGGAAGCGACTGACTGGCCTGTCTGGTGCCAGGCTGGGGGGCCAGGACACCCACAAGAGTGCTTGCATTAGGATGCTGTTACCCGTGCCTGTGTTTGACCTTTTGCATGTTCATAATGGCCTGTCTTTCTGTGGTCCTGCATACCACTGGACAAATCTTGTACTGTAGCTCATCTTTTGGGTGTTTGATGCCTTTTTAAAGTGACACGTTCTCCTTTTTGTAACAGTGACTCCGGAAAAGTCAAATTGCACCCCAGCCTCTATCTCCTGTTGCTTGTTCTGGGACGGCTCTACCCCTCCCCCATGGACGGGTCCTGCTCCCCGCTGGGATTAGCCACCTTCCTGCCCTTCATCATCAAGTAAGTGCCCCCTGTGCTTTTGCCTGCTTCCCTCTTGTTTTGCTTGTGTCCCCCCCCCCCCCTCAACTTTCTATGATGTCCCATCCTGGAGAGCTCATACTGGGGGCCTTCCATCTCCTGTTTTCCGGGCCTCTAGCCGAAGTCCAGGCTCAGTGGCGAGTGGCTTTGGTGGCGTATGAACATGTTTTAAGGTGTAGGCTAGGTCTGAAAGGGTTAATGGCATAGCTGGGGTTAGCAGTGTGCCGCATCTGTAAACGCAGTGTACTTTCTGCCGTCTCTCGACGTTCCCAGACCCCCCGCCCTGTTATCTTCCCCACCCCAAAGCTAGTCCCGCAGTTACCCCCGTGCATGGATTTTTCTCATTTCTGTGGAACAAAGAAAAATATTATTGGAACAGGTTCTTCCCGCAGCCATAAGAAAACGGGTGATCTCGAGTGTGTCCCGTCAGAGCTGCCGGCGCATTGCGCACACAGGCGGGGGACATCATGCCTTATCATCCTGTCCCCCCCACCCGCGTTTGATGTCAGGTATGACCCACGAACCGTCACCCGCCAGGACGTTCCAAAACTGCTTACAAACACACACCTTCGAGGGGCCGAAAAGACAAGATGCACTGTCTGTTAAACGTGAACGAATGAATCTGTTGATTACCGTTTGACGTAATTCTGCAGCAGTGCCCTACTAGTGTGGGGCGGGTGGGGGGGGGTAGGCAGGTCCCCTATTAATTACACCCTGTATTGGTTGGTAAGTTATTAATGTTTACAGCTGGCACTTGGCGGGAGCAGGGTTATAAAAATGAGAGCAGAGAATGTTGGGTTCTGTCTGTATGCATGATCCACACCAAGATAAGGTGACTGATGGTAATGTTGGCAACCAGAGGTGATATTCCTCAGGGGGTTGTGGTGTCTCCTTTGTTGTATCCAGAAACGACCCGTCCCTCCTAATTATCAATGTAATAAAATACAGTCACTGAGGTTATCAGTCCGTAACTGTCTTGGAAGTCATTAGTGTCTTGATCTCAAGCTGGGACCTGACATAGGAGGGTCGTGTGTATGAGCTTTACACTGATGAGGCAGCGAGAACACCCCCAGTGAGCAGAAGCAGTTTCATTTCACGGGGAAATGCAGGTTTGTTAATTAAAACCACTCACTGGGTCATGCTGACCTTCTGGGCGGTAGGAGGCCTAAGGAAGACCTGATTCCTGTGTTTCACTTTTGACTCTCTATCTTTATTTGGGAGTTGTGACTGTGAATGGTTGCCTCCTGCACGCTTACATTCAGCTGGGAATTATCCACATGGCAGGCATTAAACCCCCCCGCCCCCCCCCGGATTGCTCAGCAGGGTGCTTAGCATAGCTGAGATCTGGTGAGAGGCACAGTAAACACTTCATGGCGTCTCTGGCCGCAGGCGAAACGTGCGAGCCGTCTGGGGTCGATGGGAACATCGTCACGGGAATCTCTTCTGCGAGCCTCTTTCGATGGACCTTCTCCCTCGCGTTACTGTCTTGTTGGCCTTTTTATTTTCTCCTCATTTCCTGTCCTCACAGGCCTCACACAGGGCACAAGGTGCTTGGCTCCGCAGTCCTGTTGTTTGGAAACTCCTCGTGCGAGAGATGCCATCTTTTCACAGCGGGGTGAGGCGGAGTTTTCTGATGGTCTGATTCAGGTGGTCTAGGCAGGCGTAGCGGAGGTCAGAAGCTGGGCAGCGATGGGGTATATGTGGTGGTATTTAGCCTGGACTGGGGCAGGTGTTGTGAGGTAAGCTGAGGGCATATGGCATGCCTGAAGCGCCAGGGAGACGACTAGGGATTTGCGGGGCAATTTTTCTTACCATTGGAAGGTGTAGGCGTAGGACGGTCTGGCTCTCTTGTTATGCCTCCCAAGTATCACCTTGTGTTTTTAGCCCATATATACTCGGGATGACCCACATGGTTCTGCACACATTTGTGATCTGCTGGCCATTGTAAGGATCCCATCTCTGTACTTCGGGGTTCGGCTTTTCTGCCGGTCTTTCTGCCTGCCCTGCTGGGGCCTCCTGCAACTGGGTCCGCACTGGTTGGCAGGCAGTCCTGACTGGCTGGTTGTTAATGGACATGTGGGTGGGGTTGGGTTTGGATCCTTGGTGGCTCCTGCTGGGGGCTAAAGACCAGGGCTGCTTTGTGCCTGGGAAAGGTATGCGTGTGCTTCCAGTTAAATGGAGCCCACATGTTCTCCATGTTAAATATAGCACTAGCTGGGATGCTTTGGCTCTCTCTCCCCACCCGAGTTTGCGTACGTGTTCAGGATTCTCATTTGTGATTTCTATCTGTCTGCCTTGCAGGGACTCTCAGAAGTTTATTTTTGCCCTGGCACAGAGTTACTCTGAGATTAGTTGCCTGAGATTAGAATCTCTACCCCCACCTCCCCCACCCTCCTTTTCCCCACCTGGGATTTACCACTTCCTGTCAGGCTATCCCTTTTTCACGCATTCTTCCTTGCCAACCCCCTATGCCTTTTGGTCACTTTCTCGAGAGTGGACCTTTGTCCCTGGACCTGGACCATATCTAAAGTCCCAGTGAATTTGCATTTACGTAGTTGAAATGACAGTAGAACCTTTGCTTGTCTTCTGTTCCCCAGCCCAGCATCTGTGATAGCGCATTATCCCATCCATTCTTCAGACCTTGACGTCGTCTTTGTAGTGTGTCAAGAAATGAAGAGGCTGGAATCTCTTCTGCTCTGTACCAGCTGGAAGTTGTGCAACGTCGCCACTTTTTTCACTTTTTACGCCTGCGATAAGAAAGTGATTTAACTGGCCCTTGACCGGAGTAGCTCTGCACTTGCTAATGTGCCGCCGCCCTGGTACCACTGGCCTGCGGTTCACTCCCATATCTTTGGTACCAGGAACTCCTGGCGTCGTCTAGCAACTCGGACAACTTCTCTCCCTTTGCAGTGCTAGAAAATAATGAGCTGGAGCACTCTGATTCCAACACGCTGCCTGCACTGGGCCACCACAGATGACTTGGTCAGAGGCAGGTTTAGGAAACATAGCCACCTTGACTGGGATTTGGTTCCATGAAGGACTTGACTCTTGGTGTTATTACTTGCAAACTTTTTATCTGCCTTGCCCTTTCCTGTTCTTGACAAGACAGGGCACTGAATGAGGAAGAACGTGGGTGGGTTCTGGAGGTCTTGAGCTTAATGGACTAATGGGGATTTGACGGAATTTTGATTAGGCTAACTGGAAAATTAGCATGATCACATCAATCTAGTTGTCTTAACTGAAATATGTTTAGAAGAGCTAAAAGGCCTCTACTTTCAGCAGAGGATTTAACCTCATCGTCCAACACTCCCCTTCCAGCCATGAGCTCTGTCTCAGACTGAACTCCCATGAGATGAGTCGGCCGTCCCCGTTTCTAAAATTACACCCTTCCAAACTGTCATTTCCTCTCCAAAGAGTTTTAATGGGACAAATTAGTGATGATAGTTAACATATGGAGTGGGGGGGCCTGGGAGGCGTGGTTGGTGGTCATACTCGTTGGAGTAAGGTGGAAACAAAACCCCCCTTAAATGGGGCAGTGGCTGTTGTCTTGTTTTGACTGGGTAGCATGTGAGGCACATCTTTTGACCTCATTGTTGTGGGGCCTCCCTGGGTGCTGGCTTCTCCTGAGCTTCAGGTGATGGCAGAGAGCTGATGGATCTACAAAGTGTTAGGGATTTGGGACCATTGGAATTTTGTGGTAGTTTGGACTCTGAGAAGAAATTATGTGGTGTGTGTATATAGCTGTCGATTCAGTACCACTATTAACCTCAAAAGTCTGTGTTATTGCTTTCTGAGTAAGTTATTTCTCTTTGGAAGGCTTGCCTGATTTTTTTAAGGTTGATGGTTATCTGGAGTCCAGCTTGTAGCAGGACCTTGCAGGAGCTTTAAGGCTGGTGGTTTTCTGGGGCCACTTTTGGAATGTGGGTCCTGACCATCACCAAGGCCATTTCCCAGGCAGGACTCACTTGGCAAAACATGAGGCAGGACCCCTTCTAAACCCTCTGAAAGAAACACTCTATGAACTCATCTTTCCAATGTTGCATCAAGTCTATGAAGTCAAACTTGTTGCAAACTCCAAGAAGGGAGGCGCCACCTCCAGACCATCTCTCGCTGGGTGTAATGGCACCCGGATGCCGACTTGAGCGCCGCTCCACCCCCCCTAGTACCCCTTAACTCCTTCAGACTGGCTTGTAGAAATGAAAGATGAGTATCTGGGCCAGGTTCTGACTGCATCATCTGGTGCTAAATGCTTCCACGTGTGGGCTGCTGCTGGAAGGCCCTTGGCAGTGGGACCATTGGGACCAGGGGGCCTGGGCTCGGGAATTTTGGTGGGTGGTTCTGGGAGAAGGGATTTGCAGGGCGCATTGCGGGGGTCCCAAGTTTCCATGAGAGCTCTGGGCCTTTCTATAATAAGCCCCATTCCCCGCTTGCGTTTGTCTGGCTGGCTTGGTGGGGTCCGCACGTTGCAGCAGCCAAAGTCGCCATGTAGTATGTGTCTCTTCTGACACCACCACACCCCTTCCCCCCCCAGTTCCTTGAGCTAAGCTCCCATTTCATTTCTCATTCTCTTTCTTTTGTTGCTTACGTGATTGGAAATGTGTTTGCGGGGCAATGATTGTTAGGTATACATCGTTCTAGGAGCAGTGGCAAAAGTCTTTGCTTACCTCATGTCATCTTTAAAATCGTTTCCCATCGTCCTTCTCCTGCTCGTATCCCCTTTTTCTCCTACCTCCTGCTGAGTTTGTTCTCGAAATGAAGATGAGCTCAATTATCTCTTGGGATATGACAGTCACCATCCCCACCCTCGCCCAGCGGATCGCTTATTTTCGGCGTATTTCAGACATGACTCTGCCTGGCTCTCTACCTCCCTGACTCATGTCTTCCTCCCCCATCCCCGATCCTTAATCACCTGCTCTCCCTCACCCTGTCTCATTATCATCCTGACACTGCCTGCATTTCTTCTCCTGATCTTAGGGGGGAGGGCAGGATAAGGATCAATTGGGGGGTGGTGATCTCAGGATAAGGTAGCGGCCTCTCCTAAGAACCAGCTCATTATTCTGCCAGCCGTCACCGTGCATCAGTGTCCCATTAATGAGGCCCAGCACTGGTCTGGCCTCCCCAACACCACAGCCCCCCTCCCCCGAAAAAAAAAAGTAAAAAAACTCCCATCTTCATTTGTGTTGTGACATCAGAGCAGGTTTGGCAGAGAAACAGGCCATCAGAGTTGCATTGCAAGCGGTTTTTATTTTGGGAAGCACTTACCTTACTCCCCAGCTGTGAACACAGACGGTCTAGAAAGACCTGCTGCTCTCAGATATGGAAGGCCACTTGAATGGCCAAGGTGGATGGAGGCCTCAGCTTCTCACTTGTCGAATAGTGGTCAAAATGGTTGCTAAAAGAAGAGGAGAAAATGCATGTCTGGGTGTGTTAATGGAACCAGGGGCCCCACCGTGGCATGCCTGGCTTGGATTATTAAATGGCAGACCCCTCTGGCATGGATGATCTGCAGAGCGCTGCGGCAGTCTCATGACCCAGGGAGAGACATGAGAAGTACGGGGGGGCTTGTGGGAAAGTTTTACCTCATGCAGCGTGGGAGGACGCTTTGTCACTGATCCTGGGAGCTCGGCATCTGCGGTAGAACCATTGGACTGGTTTCAGCTGATAAGTAGCTGCTGTGCAAGTTTCTGTTTGTGTCTGTCTGCTCAAATCTATTACAGACGTTTTCTGTATATAAAAAAAACTCCCAAACCCATGTTTGGCCCTTAAGCACTAAGGCCAAGCCTTGACCGGAATGGATGCTTTCTAATAAGTTTAGCTGTGTGTTTCACCCGTTCCTTTCCCCACGGTCTTCCAGGTGCGGTCGCTCTGCTGTGTATCGGACACGCCAGATGGCAGCCAGGGCCCTAGTGCCTTTTGTCTCTGTGACCCAGCTCCCCTCCACCATTGGTGCTCTGCTGGAGGACCTCCCTGTGGGGCCTGGGCCTCAGGTGCAGCAGAACCACATCCATGGCACCTTGTTGCAGGTCAGTCTCGCCTATGTTGGCGCTCTGTCTTGGTGTAATGATCCGTGATGATTATCTAGGCCTCCACCCTGATGAAGCCCAGTATGGTTAGCTTCCTGTTTACTGGGTGTCTGTCTAGAAGTTACAGTGCAATTTGTGAACCTGTGGGCAAAGGAGGGCAGATTGACCCCGCCCCCCCCCCCCCCCAAAGCGGCCAAACTTCATTTTAGTCCTCTTACGGTACGCACTGACAATGTGCTGATCGCGGTTTGGCATACTCTGTGTATTTCTGTCTCTGGATGGGGTCAGGGTGCAGTAGAATGTTTTGGGGTGGGGGTGGATGCACAGATGAAGTCAGACAGAATTCTGGAGTGTCTTGTGAAGGGACATGAGTGTCTGACATCTCATTTATGACCCACAGTGGAGCTTCGTGGTGTAAGTGTTGCTCATACCTCACCCATTGGCCCACATCCCCCAGTGCATGACTGTCTTTAGTTCAGTTGAGCTCTGTGATGTAAAGAGGGCTGGTGTTGGTGGCAGAGATGAGCTCAGGTGGAACTGAGTTCATTTCTTTGGAAACAAAACTCTAGGCTGGGTGCAGGTGCTGGTGTGCCAGTAGCCAGCATCCATGACCTCCTACCCAACTCCAGCTGGTTTCAGATCAGTGGGGTGCCAATCTGTGCAACACTATGTGGGCGTTGTGGCATCTTGGTCCATGACATGTGGGCGAAACACGGCAGTTGTGTAAGATTAGCTTGTGACTATCGCCAGTCGTATTATTTCCTATGCCGAAATGCTTCTACGATTGCTCTTCATAAATGGTTATATCAGCATGGCTGCGCTGCCAGTTAACCATGAGCTCCCCACCCAACCTAAGTTAGGGTATTGGAAGAATGAGCTAAGAGGGAAAGTCTTTCCAAAAGGAAACCAGCATGAAATAGGTGCTCATATTTTTGCGCACACACACCCTCGGACAGATGGGGATAATCAGGCTGAGTCTTTGTGGACCGTAGACGTCATCCGAACATGGAAACGAGTCCTGTTCTGTCACACCAAGCTTGGTGTCTCGGGTGAAGGAGATGATCCTCGTGAGACTATTGGTGAAGGTTCCTGGCGTTAAGTTTTGGCAGCTCAGTCTGCTGTTGAAGGTCCTTGAAGCAGCTGTGATGAGGGACTGAGTCTTGACACAGGTGGGCAGACTGAACAGGACGGCCTGCAGGCTTTGGAAAGTGCTTGACGCCTTCTTGGGCCCCCTTTACAAGCCTTTTAACGTCAATAAAACGTTAGCACGTGTGACTTTCTCCTTCGGAACCTGCTTAATAACTTCCTGTTGTCCACCGTCCCATTTGACGTAGTTCTTTTGACAGGACCTCCAGGATGGCTCCATGCAACAGTGGGGGGTGGGGGTGGGGGTGGGCTTTGAGGTTACGAGCCTTTTAGGAGACAAAGGGTCCCTCTGAGAGGGCCTTGGTAGGCTGTTCCTCACCGTGAACTTTAAGTGTCTTTCAGGACCTGCGAGGGGAGCTGGACATCTGACGATTTCCAAATGCGTGCGTTTGGTCATGCAGTCTGCTGTGTTGATATACTTCTTTTGTAAATTCTTTATCTTGTCACCTTAGCTCTTAAAACGAGTACATACAGGCACATGGAAGGAACACCCCCCCCCCCCCAAGGATGATGAGGCCCAGTCACTGTTTTGCTTTTGGACTTCAAAGCCAGAGGATAGTGGGACTATCTATCGACACGTGGAGCTGGGGGTTGGGGAGCAGGTTTCAGAACTCAGGGTTGTTAGTGACGTCGTTCCCTGTTGTGGGGGGAGGGGGGGGATCTACTCGCCTTTAATCTCCCACCAGGGAGTGTTTTTCTTGCGCTCGTTCGTTTGTGTGTGTGGCAAAAAGCGGGTGAGAGTGCCACTGCTGTGGTGGCAGCTGGATCTTCTGAGGTATGGATGAGCAGCTCCTTAGGCCTGTCTAGGGATTATCAGGGGTCCTGTTCAACACATCAGGCCTGACCATTTCATGCATGGTTCCTTAATGAAGATCTCTGTGGTGAGCGCTGGCCAGCCCAGTCTGGGCAGTGTTTGATGTAGGAGAATGAGTGTGGGAGTTGGTGTGGCGTGGGATGGAGCTCTAGACGATCCTGACACCAGAGCTGTTTTAGCACTTAATTAGCCACAAGGCAGGAGTGTTGGCTGACACAGTTCCTACAGCCTAATTGTTGGACAAATGTGCCATGATTTCCCAACCCACCCCCCACCATCTCTTATGTCAGACGCCTCTGGGCCGGGGCTCTTCAAAGCCAGCTGCAGAATGGCCGATTGTGGTCATCAGTTTTTGATGTGGTGCGACTTACGACCGAAGCTGACCGAGTCTTGCCTCCAAATCCCATCGGAGATGAAACGCTGACTTGTAGGTGTGTGGCCAGGGTAGATCGGACTGTAAGCATATCAGAAACAATTGTCAGTTCGCCAAACTGCATATCCTTTTACTGCAACGCCAGTAATGACGGCCTGCTTTTTTCCGTAATTCAGTAAACGTGTAGGTCTTGTAAAATCTCCAAGTTATAGCTGACCGGTATCTCTCACGTTACAGGAAATCGGCATCGGTGGAATGTCTTTATCTCTTCTTGTTGTGCAGGAACTTGCGGTCACGACACGTTTCGAGTGTCTTTGTGGTTGCGGTGCTAACCTAGGCTGAAGCCTTGTGCGTCTCTCCGGCTTTTCTCTCTCCGTTTCTTCGTCTTTTGGGTCATTCTCGGGATGTTCATTTGTCTCAAGATGATTTTGTAAAATCATGAACAGAAGCTGGAACCCAATTCTTAGCATAAAAGCTCAGGAAAATGGCGACGGGAAGGTCGAGATTGGAATTCCTCCAATTGACTTGATCGGTTTTCATTTAATCTGCTTATCCGTATTGGATGTCCGGTATTGTGAAACTCTGAGCGTGGCGTGTGGGAACGTGGGTCCCACTCAGCAGGAATTTCGCCTATGGCTCCGAGCCGGCGCGAGTCGACAGTGCACGTCTGACCCCGCCAGTTCCAGCCCGAGTTCGCCCATGTGACCCTGGTATGATTTACATGTCCTTTCTGGTATTTAATTTTGCGTTTCATTGCATTACCGCCACCCCCAGCACTACCCCCAAGGCGGCGACAGTGCCTGATTCATGCCCGGCTGGCCACTGGCCCCCGTGTACCCGCGTCGTGTTTGTGCAAGTGACTCAGGCCACTATAAATATTCTCCCGCTTCTTCCATTCAGGGAGGTTGGAATAACACTTCTCTGTTTGGGTGACTGGTGGCTGGAGAGTGTGGCTCCCGTGTCAGGGTCTGCGTGGGGGGGGACCGTGGTGGGGGCGGCTGTACGGGGTGCAGGGCTGGTTCAGAGTGGAGCTGCGTATGTTTAAAATATGGCTGAAGGTTATGACTGTGTGGGGGGAGGGGGCCCGATTCTTGCCTGCATGCACCCCCCTCCCACCACTACATGGTGCAATGAAAGGCATCCTCCCTACAGTGCTTAGGGTACGTGGACCAGGACCCGAGCTCAGGCTGGCCGCCTGACCGGTGCCATGGGCTCAGGGGATGGTGCTGGTTCTGGTCCATTTTATTGGGCTTTGAAGGAGGCTGAGTTGGGACAGGGGGGGGCACTCCTCACCTGTTTGGCTGTTTTCCTGCCTGTAGGTCCTTCACCTGTTGAGTTCCTATCACGCGGAGGCACACAGGAGCCATTCAGAGGCCGGATGGGGGGGTGACAGTGTTGTCATCGCCCTCCAACCACGACTGTGGCTGGCCACCAGGTATGCACTGCACATATGCCCCCCCCTCGCACACAACTTCGCTCTTTGTCCAACTTGGGCGGGCCGTGCTTTCATCTACCTCACCCTCCTTGCATGTAAAATCAGCCTCCTAGAACTGCATAGGCCCCCCCCACCCCCCCAGTAATCACCCGGCTTGTCGTCTAACTCTACCTGTGTTGGAGCGTGTGTTGCCTTTGGGGGGGTGGGGGATGTATGGCGCTGCTCCCCGGAGGTCTGTCTGCTGCGCCATGATCGAGATCGACCTCCGGCTCCCATGGTCTTTGCTGCAGCATCAGGAGAAGAATGGCTCTATTCTCCCCCCCACCCCAGGGCGACGTGACCCCTGATCCCTGCCCCGTCAGGCTGTGGTTTCAAAGTCCCTCTGCAGAGCGATTACTCCACTGATGTGACCGAAACGCCACACACTCAACTGTCTTAGGGTGGCTGCCTGTGTGCCCTGCTTCCTGTGCGGGGGTGGGGGGGGGGTCACAGTTTCAACCACAGGTAGATGACTATCATCATCTTATGCACGTTATACAGTAGGTTAGATTCCTGTTCTTCAGCGAAAGCCATATCTATCTTTTGATCCCCGTGAAGTAAATCCTAGTCGTCGTCGTCCCCCCGCCCCCACCAAAACCTTAAATTTGTTACCATGGGCTGTTTCTCCCCCCCTGGGGCTCTTTCAAAGGGCTGACGTAAAAGAGTACGTGTTGAGCCTGAAGGATGATCGCTGACGATTATCCTGCAGATGACATCCAAGGAGAGTTCCTGCTTGATGTCGCCGGTTTGAGGAATCGCTGTTTGCCTAGCCCCTCACCCCTGCCTGACCCTGGTAACCAGGTGTGTGGCTCGGCCAGTTGCTCTATCCCAGCCCCCCCCCCCCAACTCTGCTGTACTGGGTCATCCCCCCCCCCCCCCCCCCCAACTCTGCTGTACTGGGTCATTCATAACTTGAGGAGCAGACTGGCCTGCAAAATCACAGTAGCCTGAGGAATAGCGGGGCCGCTGCACTGGAAAGGTGTTCCGAGGGCTGGGAGAGTTCTTCAGGAAAGGCCCAGGAGGTGCTGAGGGCCTGCTGTTTGCGTCAGTCATCAGGTCATCTGTATGTTCAGCTTGGAAGTGGTATCTATGTGAGCAAGAGAGAGGGACTGAAAGAGCGAGAGTGGGGGCGGCTTAGCACAGAGCACATGACATGGAGCACGAGAGCGCCAGTGAGTCAGCCAGTCATGTGCCCCTGTGGGTGGGGGTGCTGTTTATGACCTGGTACCCTGCAGCTCCACCCATCCATGATCTGTCTGTAACCCCAGAATGGAGTTAGCTACCTCAGTTCCCACCATCTCGCCCTACTCCTGGGACCGGGAAGTGGGTATTCTGAATGTGTGTGCAACTGGCTGTGACCCCCACGGTGTGGGATGCGTGGGCTCAGTGAATGAATGTAGTGGCTTTGGAGCAGGGCATTGTGGGTATGAATAAGAGGAGCTGGCCTGGCATGGGTGGATCCTGCAGTGTTCCTCACCAAAGCCTAGTGTTGTCAGATGGCCGTTACCTTAATATCTGGCCAGCGGGGATGAGGCATCGCAGCCTGACAGTGGACCCTTGTTCTGGTACGCGCACCCCCGGATGTGTCGGAGCATCCTCCTGCTACAGCTGCAGGTGGTGGGTGGGGGTTGCACAGTCCTCACTCGCTGGTGACTCTCCACTTATTCAGCAGCAGTTCTGCAGTGCTGGGTGGGGGTAGGGAGTCATATTTTACCGCATGGACTCTGTACCTGATTTATTCCCTTAGTCAGAGACTCGCCGTGACCCGTCAGCTGGGAAGTATTTCTGCTTCACATGAAGTTGGTTGTGCTCTGCCGCCCACAGTCCCCCCCCCCCCGCACTTCCCTCCCATGATGCTTTGCTGTCGAGCTGTGGGAAGATGGCACTGTGCTCTACGATGTGACTGTGCAGCATGTGTTTCATGTATGTCTAACCCCTCCCATCTCTGTCCCCGGTTTTCAGGACAAACCCTTGTCTGGTTACTCGAGCCTCTATGCTGGACCTTTTGGGGAGCCTTTGTGCATGGGAGAGGACCCCCGCTGATGGTAGGTGTGCCTTGCGACGTACGGAGTGCTGAACGTCCTGCCCTGTGGGTGTACGGACCCCCATGGACGAATGGCTGTATTTCCTCTCTGCTCAGAGCTTCGGCAGAGGCTGAGTGTGAGGGCTGCTGGGTCTTGCAGAAATGCTTAACCACAGCCAAAGCCGCGAGCTGTGGTGTAAGTGCCCCCCCCCCGGGGCTTCCTGTATGTGCGTATGCCAAATGAGCGTCTGGTGGGAATGCTTAACCCGGCCTGCAGTGGGCGCTGAGGCTTCAGATCGCACGATAAACACTGTTTTATGCCTTCTTCACCTTCTTTCTGCCTTGAGTGCAAAAAGTAAAATGTGGCTCTATGGGGGTGGGGGGGGTTATCTGTTTTTTCACTTTGTACTGCCACGATCAGCTGAGCAGGAAGTGGGAATTTCTCGACTCACTGCGGCACACACCCTTCATTTGGGCAGGGTGAGAAATGCAAGTCTCTCCATACCCGTTCGTGCCGTTTTTGATCCATCTGGGCTCATAAACCTTGGCCCCCCACCCCACTCCAACAGCAATGAACTCATCTTGGACCCAAATCCAACATCCACCCCCCCCCACTGAGACCCGAATGGGGCTGTGTTAATTTCTTCAGTTGGCTCGCCGGCCCTGTATCCCACACAAGTCTGGTGCCAGAACACGCTAATCCCGTAAAACGGCCCACTTGCAGTACCTTGCATTCTTACCAGGGTGCCGACTTGACCCACATTAGTGTCCTGCCTCTGTTCTGAGCTTCCCAACACACTGTACACTGACGAATCACCCAGAATGCTTTTCTCATCTCCTGTCTATCCCTCGCATTCTCTCGAATCTGCGGGTCTTGACTGTGACGGATGGAGAGCAGAGCCGTGCCATCGGCCGTGCCGGGCGGGGGGGGGGGGGGGGGGGGAGCATCTGGAGAGCAGAGCCTCACCATGCCTGCTTTTTGCCTTTCACAGTTTTTCTAACAACTGTAGAGCGTGATGTAAAATGCAGCACTGTGG